CTGCGGCTGATCTAGAACGCTGCTGCTTGCATCCTCACTAGAACTAAGAAAGTAGAGAGATCAGCCCAGTTCTAAAGCCTAGACTCTAAAATACTTCTGTCTAGGAATCACTGAATGGCTTCACTCCAAAATACATTAAAGGCTTTTTGTCAGCTTGTTGGATCGACAGCCAGACCTCTCATGTCTACTGGATCAGATCTACTTTACTGAACCAGAACCAAACATGTAGAAGCAGCTATTAGTTCATTTTCTCCCTGATACTGTAAAAGTGCTGAAACCATTAGTTGCTTTAAATCAAGATTAAAAACATATTTGTTTCAGAGCGACCTTTGACTTTGCTATATAAAAATGATTAATTTATTTTGTTGTCCAAATTGGATTAATTTATTATGAATAATTTTATGAAACCTCATTATAATGATTTCATTAGTTAAATTATTCATTTTTATTCAGCTAAGTTATTCATGGTTATTAATTAATTAATGACCCTTATGTCACTATTTGCATTTCTGTTTTTTTCTCTTTCTTTATTCCTCTGCAGCACTTTAAACTGTCCTATTACTGAAATATGCTTTGTAAAGAAACTTCTCTTGCCTATAAAGAAAGGGATTTTATATTTTAAAGGAATCATTAGAGATTTATAGTTGAAGAAAGAAATTTAAAGCCTGAAAATAGGATTAAACTTCTGTCTAGCTACATCTTTTGTACAGTAAAACGCAAACAGGAGATTTTTTACCCATAATGACTCAGCGAGGTGAGAGTTTTATTGCTCGTCATCTTGAATGCTGTTGGTCTGCTGCCCGAATAGAACATGCAAACGGCATAACAGCTCAGCAGATGATCCCGAAAAGTTCCCAAACGCACCACTTACCCAGGCTTGTTAGAGTCCCCAGAGCAGTTAGAAGGCCGAAAATCTTCCCCAGACTGGGCACAGCCATTATGTCTCCAAGACCCCCCTAATGCATTCCTCTTCGCTATGTTTAAATACAAAGTGTGAGGGGGAGAAAGACAGTGAGAGTAAAGACAGAGGGGAAGAGCCTTAAATCTCCCCTATCAAACACTCTGACTGTTGTCCAGCCCCGCTGTGGATATATCCAAGGCTCAGGTTACACAGCAGCTGAAGGCACTAAACCAGGACTTCAAGTCACACTCCAGTCATCTACAATAATCATCATCACGATTATCGAACATCTACAGCAACACATAACACCTGGTCTTCTGTAGCGAGTAACCCAGCTTTTTCAAACGTTTGCCTGTCGATACACATATGTCTAATTTCACTGACAACTCATATCCTTTCAAACTGATTTGTATGAAGCTAATGAAAAGGAGCAGACTCACAGACCCCCATGGGGGGAGCAAGGAGAACAGGTGACCGGCTGTGTTGGGCCTGCTCCCCCTCTGCTATGTGTGCTGGGTATTTATACATACTGCAGACTCATACCACTTCCACTGCAGGAGTTCAGCGGCGGGACTGAATACCAGTATGAACTAGAGGCAAACGCAGCATAGAAAAGCCAATAAAACTCTGAGGAGAGAGAATCTGATCTGCATCAAGATAAGTCAGCTAGCTTCTTCTGTTTTTCTGCAGCTGTCTTTAAAATAGAATTTAAACATCTTGCAGCTCCAACTATTGCTCTGAGTGATAAAGGTAATGTCTTCAGTCAGGGCCGAATGCAACAGCGCAATCTGGAATGTGCCATGTGAGTTGCTCAGAATGTGACGTACTTCTAAATATACAGTTAGGAAAACAGAGACGAGCCTCTTTACAGTAACTGGAGCTTGCAGATGGTGTTTAAGTCCCTCACACTTATGACCCAGAGGCCGATTAAAGGACCAAGCTATGCCAGCTTTAGGTTTAGGAGACTTTTGTGTTTACATCCAGAAAAATATCAGATTAGGACATAAGTTCACATGGAGGAAGATCTTCATCTGTCAAAATTGATTTGCAAAAATTGTTGACTGAGATGCTCTATAAAAAATGAATGTTTTGAAGGTATCTACCGACTCTCAGATGTGAAACCCAGAAAGGAAAATGCAGGGTTTTGTATTAAAGGGGTTCTGCATTTTCCAGACAAAAAGGGATATAAATGAAAAATGTATCTGTAAGAAACTAGAGATGAGATAAGATCTGATTAAGGAATTTTAAAAATTTATAATTTTATTGGTAACATTTCATATTGTGTTTCTGTACAGGAATAAAAAAAATGAAAAGCAAACAGATGTTCATGTCTTGCCATGGTTTCTCAATAAACTCGGTGATTGACTGCACTGTTTGCTTATGAGAGAGGCAACACTGATTAGTTAAACCTGCTTTGAGTTGGTGATATTTAGCAAGACAGGCATCCTTTCGATAAAACCAGGGCAATTGCAGCTTTGTATATTGCACCAAAGTTGAATTGGAATTGGGCATCCAAGTCTGAGCAAGTTTTATGAAATACCACCCTGGAGTTTCTGTGTTTCTGCCCCAAAAAATGCTCCAAAACTGATGAAGTTTGGATGCCATGCCATGCTGTTAGGGTCTCTGGGGTTTTGCTGTTTTTCTGGTGAAAGTGAGCTTCTTTTCACAGACAGGATATTTGCTGGTGTCTGGGCTGACCCATGTTGCTGCTAAACCTGAGAACATTTCTCAACCAAGATGAATAGCCTGTATGTATGTTGGCGAAAGATCATCTCTTTTCACTGAATGATTCCATCGGATGGTATTCCAGCCAAAGATCTAAACCAGGAATGTCCTTCTTGTTGAAATGTTTCTTCTTGTGAATCTCCTTTAATGTGGACTCTGTTATTGTTCCAGACAACCAGTGAACATCGATTTGTCTCCGATGTTCATGGAAAAGATCTTACCTGTGTGCAGCAGTTCTCAGTCTTCATCACCTGCCTGCCCGCTGTCCAGCATGACTCCTCTTGGAGGCACCAACGTTCTTGGATCTCACTCACATTCTCCTAGACCTCTGTAAGGCCCACTGAATCAAACCTTCAGAAGCACAGCTGCAGCCTCTCCGCTCTGGTGCTGTTTACCGTGTGGGTAAACCACTATAACTTATTTTCTTTGAGTTGTGATCTTAGTGCTTCTCTGTTGTTTGAGATTACTTTGATTGCACATTGTTTTTAAATGTTTTTACGTTTTATTAGTAACAGCTTTGAAAAACAAAAAAATTGTTTACAATGAGAATTAAATATTTTTTACTTTTGCTTTTTATTGTATAGTTTTATGCTGATTTTGATTTTGTACTTCACCCCCATGATATTTGCAAAACATTTGATCATTTTAATATTCTCATGGCTCTTATCTTCCAAGTTTACTTTTATTCTTTTATGTTTAAGTGTTAAAGTTGGGTCTAAGTATTAGTCTTCCTTTCAAATTTATTGTTTTAAACTTAACATTTTAGTTTCACAATTGATTGTACAGGTTTATGTTCTTTTTGATTTAGCATCAGTCACATCTGCATGCAATTTTAATTTGTTGGTTATGGTAATATCGAAACTCTTTCAATTAAAGTTTTATTTATTCTTCCGGTTATTGCTTTTAAAAGTTTTTGTGCATACATCTAAAATAAAATGAATGAATGAATAATTATTGAATAAGTGGAGTTGCTTTTATGGAAGTGTGTGAGTTTAGCGCGCGGGGGGTGGGGGGTAAAGGGAAACTGGCCTTGGGGACCAAAGAACCTAGAGACAGCCTTTGGCCTTCATGTTCTCCAAAGTAAGGACTCAAACTACAAATTGCTCTGATGCAAACTGACAGATTTGACAGTGTCTTGGATAGAAGTCCTTATATCGTCTTCAGGAAATGTGAACAAAAGTCTGGTTGTCTTAAGTCTGTTTATAATAATTTATCAATTAAATATATAGGTAAGTAATATGACTGGACCATCGTAACATTTGAATATCCTTTGTTATTAATCATTATATAGTAGCTCTGGCTGTGCATTTATAGTTGTGAACACTGGTCCTGGTCTTAAATGTCTAACCGCCTTTAAAAAGGCGTTTAAAACCTTCTGTTCTGATTTATGACCATTCAGCCTCCCATCAGCTCTGACCAGCTTCACCATGGTGATAGTGTTGTCAGGATATTGCACCGTTTTAGTTTCCAGTCTCACACAGATCTCTCCTGTTTTACATCCATGTTGTTACATGCAAAGTTTTACTCTGCTCATATATTGCCTAATTTCATTGCATGCATGCAATTGTAATTGTACGGTTAGACGTGACAAGAGTAATTATACTGCTACTGAGGGTAGTTTGTAGCCATGATAGATAAGGGTTTTATTGCAGACAGAGGAATAGATGGGCAGGACTCAGTTGAAAAGATTTAGATTCATTATGTTTTGTTTAATTTCCATTCACAAAACCCCAAATGTAACAGAACAGTGACAAGCCCTGTCAGAGTGGTCGAGTCAGCAGCTTTCTATCAGGTAGTGCCTGTTTTAGATCAGATCATCCACTGGCTAAACTGAATAAAAGCCCTTTTACCCCCCTCCCCTCCAGCCTTGTAATGAATGGCCCTGCTTTCACGTTTTTCCCCGCTCTGCTTGAAAATGCCATTGTTAAGCCCTTCTTCATGGGCAGACACGTGGTGCAGCTTGAGCGTGGAGTTCAATGTCTGCTTAGCTCCCTCTGATAGCACAGACTAAACCAACGTTTGGATTTGTAACCATGGGAGGAAATAATCATGTGAATGGCATTTATGATCCACATTAGGCTGTTTATCAATATGACTTATAGACCTTAGACTTGAGTGGAATAAAAATGATCTAACAATTTTTGGTCCATAGGTCAAAAAATATTAAAGATAAGCAGATTTAGATTTGATTTTGCTTGTTCAATCTGTTATGTGTAGCTTTACCTTGGTAATGAAATTTGAACCATCGCACATCATCAGGTTTATAAAGGATATTCTCCTGAGCTGTACACTGTTCCAACCTCAGTAAACATGACTTAACATGACTTGGCGGATCTGTGCTTTAGAGTTGTTGTGACCGCCTTAATGGCTCCTGTGAATTAGTTTTAATGTGACAAGGGGGTGAAAAAAGGAGGGGGAAGGGGAAGGGAGTGTGGTGGTGGGAGGAGAAGCAGGGGAGCCAGTATTTAACTGCTTACCAGGAATATACAGCAGAAGATGAATCAGGAGGAGGGAGTTCATTGTCGGACAAGCTGAGTTGGCTCTGCTTTATCAGCTACAGGCTGCTGCTGGCTGATCTCTGGACTCTTAGATTGAGCAACTCACGAGAGACCAGCAGCTCCTAAAAGAATATATATATATATATATATATATATATATATATATATATAAAAATCAGAGGCGGAGCCCGAATGGAGCAAGCAGGAAGATTCCACTGAGAAAACAACAGCTTAAAAGATCAACAATGAACAATGAATGGGAATCTTGAAGTGCAATGACTGAGAGAGGTTTTCATTCGAGGTAATGAGGAAGAGTATGATAGGTTTCAGAGGACCAGGGGGAGGGGGGTCAGAGGAAGGGGTCTGGTGACAGCTAGTGAAAGGGATCAAACCCTCATGTGGAACAGAGAGGAATTAAAAGGGAAAGAGCAAGAAAAAAAGCAACAGAAGCACACTGGCGGCCCTCAAACTGAACATCAGGATGGGCGTGAAGCGCAAGGCGGCTGCTGCTATCTTGGTCCTGCTTCTGTGCCTCGGCTCTCTCTGGATCCGTGAGTAGACAATGAATCCGCTCTGTTTGGGAAGCGCTTGGTTCCCGTCAGGAATGAATCACATGGTGCAGGTTCATACACACTATTTATAAAGTAGCTAAAATGTAATCAGCATTTATCTGCAGAATAGGATGTACCTTTTTAAACAAATGGTCAGAGTTAATTTGATTCTTTGGTTCAAAAAGTATTTAAAAATAGTCTGATACATCCTTTAACCTCAGGTGTTTTATGAGTGCAGTTTGAATTTAATTGGCTGAAACTTTGAGACAAAACAGATTTGTTTTAATAAACGCATTACCTTTTTCATTTATTTCATGACATTACATGAATGTATTTGTGTGTGTTTCATTGATAATCTATATAGTATAATCGACCAACAGAATACATCACTAATGACTTTTAAATGCCAATGGGTTAGAATGACTTTATTTAAAGGAATCAGAGTAAAGTATGCTGAAAGTAAAGGGATGCCACAACTTAGAGGAAATTATAAACAGTTTGTTTTTCACTTACGGCTGCACCAAAATGAATTGGTCAATCTTAACAAAAGAGACCATAGAGTATATGGCTACAAATTAACCCCAACAAATTGTCAAATTGTTTAAGAGAAATTCCCAGATTACAACATATTCTATCCATATTATTCATGGATATGTGTTAAGGATCCTATATCTAAGCCTGTTAAGAATGTTACTGTGTTGACATATTCAATAAATATCTGATGTTGCAGATGATGAAGCAAAAGCTCTATGAACAAGACATCTGGAATAGGATTTATTATATGTTATAATATAATAAATCTAATATAATATAAGATCATATCAACTTATATCATCGATAAGTACATAAAGCAAAACTTTTCTCAAGTACCGTTCAAAATAGAAAATTTACTGTCCAAATACCTACAATAAAAAAAGAGGAAAAAAATACAAAACATAATCCTGAAACCATGGTTTTCAAGTTGATCTGTTAAAAGGGATTTGTACAGGGTTATGTCTCCTTTTTTCAGGATAGTAATATCTTAAGGGTAATGTCTTTCACTGTGACATGTTTAGGTTTTCGCTTAAAATGGATGTGTTCAAAGTTACGTCTTTGGAGTAATGTCTTCAGGAAGTTGTTTAGAGTGATGTGTTTAGGGTGATGCATTTAGGGTGGTGTCTTCAGTCTTCAGGGTGAATTTATTCATGGTTGTTTATGTTGTTGCTTAAAAGTGACGTGTTCAAAGTGATAGGGGTAATATACCAGGGGGGGTTGTTGATGTGTTTGGTGTGATGTCTTTTGAATGGTGCGTTTAGGGTGATGCATTTAGCGTGATATGTTTTGGGTGATGTCTTTAGTCTTCAGGGTGAATTATTAACTGTAATGTGTCGGTGGTAAAATCACTAGGTTATTGCTTAAAAGTGTCTCCGGGGGGTGATGCGTTTAGGGTAATGTTTTTTAGGGTGATGTCTTTAGAGTGGTGCGTTTAGGGTGATGCATTTAGGGCAATGTGTTTAGGGTGATGTCTTCAGAGTGGTGAGTTTAGGGTGATGCATTTAGGGCAATGTGTTTAGGATGATGTCTTTAGAGTGGTGAGTTTAGGGTGATGCATTTAGGGCAATGTGTTTAGGATGATGTCTTTAGAGTGGTGAGTTTAGGGTGATGCATTTAGGGCAATGTGTTTAGGATGATGTCTTTAGAGTGGTGCATTTAGGGTGATCCATTTAGTGATGTTTTCAGGGTGATGTCTTCGGGGGGGGTTTTTTGGGTGAGGTTTTCATAGTGATATCTTTTGGGGGATGACTTCAGAATGATGTGTTCAAGGAGAGTTGTCCAAGGTGATGTGTTAAGGTACATTCACACCAAATGCAAATTTTGCAGCTGGAGTGAAGGATTCTCCATGTTATCTCTATGTAGATGGCAGATACACCTACACATCTTCCATTGAGGAAGCAGAGCCTGGGGGATCCAGGCTCTGGTTCTCCCATCTCTGTTGCTGAAGTCACTAAGGTGGTTAAAAAGCTCCTCGGTGTCAAGGCCCCAGGGGTGAATGATATTCGCCCTTAGTACCTTAAGGCTCTTGATGTTGTGGGGCTGTGTTGGTTAACATGGCTCTGCAATATTGCGTTGACATCAGGGGCAGTTCCGCTTAATTGGCAGACAGGGGTGGTGGTCACTTTATTTAAAAAAGGGGACCAGAGGGTGTGTTCCAACTACAGAGGAATCACACTCTTAAGCCTCCCTGGTAAGGTCTACTCCAGGGTTCTGGAAAGGAGTGTCTGTCGGATAGTCAAATCTCAGATTCAGGAGGAGCAGTGAGATTTTTGTCCTTGCTGTGGAACACTGGATCCGCTCTACACCCTCAGCAGGATTCTGGAGGGTGCATGGTAGTTTGCCCAACGAGTCTACGTGTGTTTTGTAAATCTGGAGAAGGCATTTGACCGTGTCCCTCGGGGGCCCTGTGGGGGGTACTCCGGGAGTATGGAGTACCAGGCCCTTTAATAGGGGCTGTTAGGTCTCTGTGTGAATGGTGTCATAGCCTCGTCCGCATTGCCGGCAGTAAGTTAGACTCGTCTCCGGTGAGGGTTGGACTCCATCAAGGTTGACCTTTGTAACTGATTCTGTTCATAACTTTTATGGACAGAATTTCTAGGCGCAGCCAAGGTGTTGAGGGGATCTGTTTTGGTGACCTTAGGATTGCATCTCTGTTATTTGCAGATAATGTGGTTCTATTGGCTTCATCAGGGCGTGATCTACAGCTCTAACTGGAGCGGTTCGCAGACGAGTGTGAAGCGGCCGGGATGAGGATCAGTGCCTCCAAATTCGAGACCATGGTCTTGAGCCGGAAAATGGTAGAATGTACGAATGAGGGGAAGATGGAATGGGAGATTGATAGGCGGATTGGTGCGGCATGCACTGTACCGGTCTGTTGTGGTGAAGAGAGAGCTGACAAAAAAGCAAAGCTCTTGATTTACCGGTCGATCTACGTTCCTACCCTTATCTATGGTCACGAGGATTAGGATGCCTCCTGGACGTCTCCCTGGTGAAGTGTTGCAGGCACGTCCCACCAGGAGGAGGCCCAGGGGGAGACCAACGACACGTTGGAGGGACTATGTGTCTCGGCTGGCCTGGGAGCGATATGGGAATCCCCCGGAGGAGCTGACTGTGGAGAGGGATGTCTGGGCCTCCCTACTGAAGCTGCTACCCCCGACCCGTCCCTGGATAAGCGAAAAAAGATGGATGGATGGAAATTGAGCGAGTGAAAGGTGGAGAATTAAAAGACCCAAATTTTATAATTTTGGTAAAGTTGGAAAAACATGATTGCCACCTGGCCTGCAAATTAAGTTAAGTGAAATTTTCAGGAGTAAAGTAAAATCTGTATTTGCTTTCACATTGAAAAATCCAGTCAGGAATTAGATGTGGCTTCAAGCTACAGTGAAGAAGCGGAGCAGAGACAAATTATGTTAAAAAATGGAGATAGAGAAAATTATGTTGACAAAGAATGAAGCGGGAATGACGCTGTTAAGAGGATTTAAGGTGGCATTTAAAAAAAGTGTTTTAATTTAGCTCTAAAAGGACAGCTTCATCGCCCTACCAGAGCAGCAATCAGCTGATGCCTTCTCTCCCCAGCTCTGGCACTGTCTACCCAGGCAGACTTAACAGATAGTCTTTGCTACTCCTTTCATCTTCTCCACTTAGCCTCTAGAGGCTAGTTCTTGCCAGCCGCCCCATCGGGCTTCTCCAATGAACCACTCCCCTACTCCCGGGCAGGTAAAGTCTCTACATCACCTTTAGTGTTCTATCTTACCAGTGGATAAATTCAATCCCCCGCTGTTCTCCTTTGTTCCCCAGCAGTAAGCTTTTATAGCGGGCCCCAGCCAACTGTAGCCTCTCATCGCTGACCTTGTTTCTTCTCTGATCTACAGATGCGCTTCTCCACTCTCTTCCAGAGCGACATGGGGAGAGAAGGCATGCCGCTGCCTTCCCTAGTGCGATGATTCCCTGGCAGTCTCCTCCGATCTCCCACTGTGGTCTCTTAGTTCTAGAGCGTTACACAGCTGGCAGACTGGTCCCAGACCTGTTTTTTTTTTTCCTGCCGGTGTTCTCGCAATGATTTCTAACTGCTCCTGTCTGAGCTCTAGAATGCCATCTCACCTAACCCTCTATTGTCCAGGTGATTTGTCCCCAAATGGGGGACCGCAGGGCCTCAAATATGGTCACAGAGAAGCGGAAGTACCGCTGAAAGCGACCATCATCCAAACCTAGCCTCTGGAGGAGGTGGGGTTCCGCAAATAGGTTCCATCTCTGGAAATCTGCTGAACCTTGTAATGTCAAGAAATTTGTTCGTCTTTTAAAAGTAAAAGAACCTGTTTGTACCTTTGTAAATCCACGACAGCCATGATGAGGTGAAACCAATGACCAGAATTTGCCTGCAGTGTGAAACGCTTTCATTGGCTAGGAGAATTTCAAGGTGAATAAAATCAGACCAAACTGGCAAAATGTTCATAGGTTTCATGTTCATTATGAACGTATCTTTAGGGTAATGTCTTAAGGGCTATGTGTTTCAGTTGATGTCTAAAGCTAAGAGCCTTAGAGTGATGTGTTCAGTGCAATGCTTTTCAGGTGATGTGTTGAAGTGATGTTTTTAGGGTAATGGCCTTGGGGGGAGTTTAGAGTGACATTTTCGGGGAGAAGTTGTCTGGCTGATTCCTTTAAGGTAATGTCTTCTGTGTTCAGGGTGAGTTGTTCAAAGTGACGTGTTTGGGGTTATGGTAAAATAAAAGGAAACTGGTTTTTTGAATATTATTCATAGGAGCCAGTAAGGTAGTTAAACAAAAGACACAACATCCTTTTTGTATTTTAATCTCTCATTAAAAGAAGGTTAAAAAGGTCTTTGATGCTTTTATGATGCATTTGGTTTCATTAAAATCTGTCTTTGTACAGTGTTCAGTAAAAGGTTAAATAAACAGAGCTGTTCAAAGGCCCTAATCTTTTTCTTGGAAAAGGATTGTTGATTAGCAGAACTGCTGCAAATGGGAACAAAAGTGGGTTTCTCCTGGGTAATTCAAACAGTTAGTCATCACTACAGAAGCAGGATTTAACAAAATGAAGCAATGCTTTCTGGATCGCCTCTTTGCTCTTTTCTCCCGATCCTTACTGTCTCTGTCTTTGTTGATCTTGGCAACAAGAGTCAGCTTTTATTCTTAGGTAAACTTGTCCTTTAAAAAAAGAAAAAAAAAGCAACTAAAAACAACCAAAACTGCTGAACATGTTGGGAACTGAGGGAGGCTTGAAGAGAGCAGCAGCTGTAGCTTCAAAGCTTGAAAACACGCTATGCCGTTGCAATCGTGAACTGTTGTTTTAAATGATGATCTTGCTGAGGTTATTGCTGATATTATATGCCATGTCCATGTTTTTCTAATGTCCTGCTGCAGAGGGAGGTTTGGATTACCACTTGCATTCCTGTTTGAAAGGTTACAATCATATTAACAAGGTAAAAGCACACACAGGTTATGCAAACCCAATACAGGCTTGCTTTTGTGAAGCAGTGAATCAGTGAGTCACATGACTTTTTTCTTTCTTTGTCCCCTGTCGATTAACCCCTGAACCCATTCTCAAACCACCCCCCTCCAGTATCAGCTTCACCAGCTGTCCAACAGCAGCGAGGCCGGTGATGAGACCACAGGCCTGCCTGTCCTCTCTCTTTGCCCCGGACAGAAGTTCCAGGTGTCACTGTTGGTGTCCCACCTGCTGGCTGCCCGGGCGTACCCCTCCGATGTGCTGCTGCAGCCGTATCTGTCCAGCTGGGATGAGCTTGTAAAGTAAGAGCATTGAATAAAGCAGCATTGCTGACACAGACACGACGCAAAAGGTCATTGTGTTAAACTGACGTCCTCATGATTTGCTTTGAGCTTCCATCACTGTGACACCTCCAAATCTTAATCTTTAAATTGATTCAGTAGCTTCTAGCCAAACTTTACTCCCTAATGGCCTAATAAAGGTTATTAGCTTCATACCAGCACCACTCGAAATGCAGCCAATAGGGTTTCTGTATAATACAGATGTTGATTTGTAGATATACCTCTGCTGATAAGAATGCCTTAAAATGTGCTTTTCACATCATTTAGTTGTTTGGAGTGGTGAAATAAACATAATCGACTGTGAGGATTATGTTGATAAACTCCATAGATTCATAGATTCCATAGATTAAAAGTTAGGTTGTTCAGTTAGGTTGTTCAGTGAAAAATAAATAAGGCTTATTGATGTCTTTTACAGATGATAAGAATGGACATTCTAAGATATTTCTGATTTTTGATTTGAAGATTTTTAGCTTCAACAGGCAATTAAGGAATGGATATTAGTCAAATGTATCATGGTAAGTAGTTTTTTGACCCACATGAAGAATCACAGGGTGAACCATTGAATTTCAACTTTTTATTTACAAAAAGCAACAGAAATCTGAAAGCGGAGAACTGCAGGAAGTCAGTTGAACTTTCAGGTTGATCTGAGGATTGAAAGCAGACTAATCAAGAAGGGGTTGGTTGAAGACAACCGACGACTGATGGATTTGATTACTTGAGAGACTAAGGAGAGGTCGCATGGATCTGTAGGGGTTTGATTCAGTGGGCTTTGCAGACAGTACCCCAGAGGTCTAGGAGAATGGAAGTGAGATCTGAGAGTGTTGGTACCTCCAAGAGAGGTTATCCTAGGGAGCGGGCAGGCAGGTGATGAAGACTGAGAACTGCTGCACACAGCTAAGCCCTTTGTAGATCAAAGACTAACCAAGATTCTCTGGTGGTCATCATGGTTGTAATCAGGGGTAATCATCCCGCTAGGAGAGATGATCAGGTAGCATCCATCCCATTCGTCCCAGCCACCAGCAATATAACATTTATTAATATTTTGCTCAATGCCCAGTTGAGGTTGTCAGCTGACCTGCTCTGGTGTATAAAGCTTGTAGAAATATAGCCAAAAGAAGTTACAAAGAACTAAACAAACAAAAATAAACAACAGACATATGGTTGTGTGCCTTTTCATGCTTTCCTTAAAGATAGGTAACAGGTCTTTCACCCAACATCCTCCCCACCACGAAAAACTTTACATTTGTTGTAGTACATGAGAACAAAGTCATTTCAGGCACTGATTATTTCTGTTCTTTGTCATTGATCCAGATTCATGGAGTCTCTGGGCCCAATGGTGGGTCTGATATCAAAAGAGATAGAGACGAAGACCTCTATAATCCGCCAACTAGCCCTGCTGTCTGAGAAGAGCCCTGATGCAGAGTTTGGCCCAGATGCACACTTAGGAAACTCTACTAATTCAACAGCCCAGAAAAAAAATGTTGTTGGGGTTTCCCAGGATACAGGGGCTTACCGTTCTGTACGTATAATGATCCGGACAGAGCTGAGTCAAGGTTTGGTCGATTTCAACCATCAGACGGACTCTGGATGTCGGACCCTTTTGCGACTGCACCGAGCTCTGCTCTGGCTGAAGCTTTTCCTGCACAAGCTGGCAGATACACCAACAACCGGACGGCTCAGGAGCCCCTCTGACCTTTGTCGAGAGGCTTACCAGAGCACCCTCGCTCACCACCACACTTGGTTTGTCCGAAGAGCCGCCGAGTTGGCCTTTATTGCCCTGCCGGAGCGGGTTTTCTTCTACAGGCTGGTGTGTGTGCAGAACCAAACGGAACTGAGCGTGGTGTTAACCAGAGTGGTTAATGCCATCGGGGAAATCTATAACAGGACACAGAAAGCACTAGAGGAAAATGGCATGCTGGACTTACCTTAAAATGTAAATCATCCTGATCTTCTTTGCTTTTGCCAATAGACTTTCAACCAAACAAGATGCAAAGTTATCTTTTGAGGTCAAAAGACAAATGTCTCCTCTGCCGATCGGTACTGAGAGATAATTCAGTGCAGCAGACGACATATAGAGATATTGACTCTCCTAATCTGCTGTAATTGACGGCATTTTAAAACATTTGCACTAAACAAGTCCAAAAAGGAGGTAAACAGTAAGTAATCAAATCAGATTTGATACGTTCATGTTTTTTAATCTTTCTGTATTCTTAAGGAAACTTTTCTATAGATTAATTATTTATAGGAATAAGTGTAGATAAATGAATGCTCCCTGTTGTTGCACGCTTCCTCTTAACTATCTCAGTCCAGATACCTAAAAGCTGCTGAAGGATCAATCGCTTTAATTATTGATGTCGAATTTTAATCAATATGTACTAAACAACTACATGCCATGTTTTAGAGTCTAAATTAAACTCTGCTGAGGTTTTTACAAGAATGTGAAAAATCTGTGTTATGTTTAGGAAAAATAAAGATTTAGTTAGATAAGAAATTGATACACTAGCATTTGCCTATTTTTTAAATACCGTAGATGTCAAGAATCCTGTTTGTAAAAATTTTGAATTTTATACATATAAAAAATAATCCAATCTTGGATAAGTATATAATCCCTTATGAATCCTTCCTTGAAACCTGAAATGCACTAGGAAAAGGACAGCAGTGGTAATCTGAGTCTGGAAAAATATTTAATTTCTGCCACATGCTGATCAACTGTTGTAACGTGATCCACCATCCAGCAGAGGCTTCCATCTCGACTAATTGTTTTGATTTTAACCTCTTGGTGTTAAAACCTTTATTTTTCTTGCATCTGATCTGACTATGGATAGAAATAATAAAAAAAAAAACAACTAAATAGGCTTTACAGTATCTTGCAAGAAAACTAGTCTCACAGCTAATATTTACAGTAGCAGCCAATCAAAAGTGCCCCTCTCAGTCGAATGCCAGCCGAATGGCAACCTATTTCCCTGCAGCTCCCAGCAAAATCCCCTCCACATTTCCAGCCATTGGCCTTCTCCTGGGGGTGCATATTTTTTACTCTGACTCCACCGTTTCACTGAATTACAGGGTCTGAGAAGGAGACTGTGCTTCTCTTCAGATCTTAATGTCCACAAGCAACGACAGAAAGAATATCCTCTCTAAAACCACCAGTGAACCAGTGGATGTTAAGAGGAGAAAACGTATAAAACTCCACCAGTAAAAGTTTGACCAATATAGACATGTTAGACATAATTGAAACGCCTAGATTCTCCACAATTCAACTACCATTCATTGTTCATTTTGTGAACACAACAAGCACCAAAGCACAAGTAAAACAAATATAGTAACTTGAGAAAATATAAACATGACAAAGCAGCCACAACTACATACATTTGAAGGCATCCAGAAGCCGTTTTATAAATCCAATCTTCAATTGTTTAGTCTCCATTCGTCCATAAGGGTCCAGAGATTAAAAGTAAACCAACATATTTGTAATAAAAATATTCCATGATGAGAACATCTCCCATAACATCCTGTTGTTGACATCAGAAAAGTTAGCTAGTCATAGCTAATGCGCAGCATCTTGCTAATATTTACTTGCTAATACTTATTTCCTCGGTTGTTAGCCCACGATGTTTGGCACGGTTATTTACCTCGTCTTCTTATCTACAAGACACAAGCATCTTTTTATGATGCGATTTGAGCCAGATATAGTCCCAGAAATCTCACTTCCGGTCACTTCCTGTAAGCCAGTGACGCGCGTTATTACGCCTTATAGAGTCCTGCTGTTATTGGTTAAGACCACGTAGGCTGTTGGGCTTTGTAGCCAATGAAATAAAGTTTCAAACAAGGCTACGTGCATCGTGGGTATCTAAAAGGAACCGTGTTACAAGCAGAGAGACACAGACAGCTGCATCTGGAGCCATGCGTGTGGCTCCAAGCTGAATGATGGTCCTTTTTTTTTGTTTGGATGCTGATTTTGTTTTATTACAATGCCTAAGGCTGAAAAAATAAATAAAATACAGCTCAGAAAAGGCACTGGGGCTTATTTTAGCTTGAAAAGCAGCAGTTTCACTATATTTTATTGATTTTTATGTTATTATAGGTGTAAAAATTTGACATTTTGTTATATACACTGATTGTGAAAAAAAGTGGATAATACTTGATTAATAAACGTTTTGTAGCCATCAAAATGCTTCAGTGTTATTCTGTGGGTCAAATAGTAAAGGAATGCATGGTAAAAGCATTTGTTCAAAAAAGTTCACAAAAAGTTCAAAGCCCCACAGCTTGGAACTGTTGTAGCTAGAGGTCTGAAATTTGCTGCATTTGTGGCTGACATGATGTAGAGCAAATGTAATGCAATGAGACCTGCCTTTTCTCAAGCATGTCTTTATTACTGCTATTCAAAAAAGAACATTTTCAAGAATAAAAAAAATAACTTTGAGTCATGTTTGAACTGTTGCAGCTTAGTTTCTGTGTTCTACTCACGGAATTTATATATCCATTCAGACATATTATTTGCTTTTCCATTTGGGTATGCAAAATAGGCGAGAATTTCCCCAAAATGAGATGGATGTTAAAAGGATATTTTAGTACAAAGATTGATGTTTAAAAAGGAATTGTAGGAGACCAGCCAAGGACCAGCCAAACACCCATCATGGAAGGTGGGCAAATTTTAAATGGCTATGACTGTAAACCTTTTTTTTTTTAAAACTTCCTGCTTTATTCCATATCTCTTTCCGTGGAGGGTCAAAAAGAAGGGCGCGATAAAGAGTCTGAAACCATGAAGGTCAGCAAGCAGAATATACTGTTTTAGTAGAAGAAAGCCAATCGTTTGGAAGTGTTTGCATAACTGTTGAACATAATATTAAGCAGTTTTCTGTTAAAACCATCTGCCTGTGAGGTTATTTAAAGAAACTAAATAGAGATAAACATGGTTTGTATATATTTTGCCGGACTATCTGAGCTTGTCCAATGATGACGTCAGACAAGCAGTTTAATGGAGAAAATGTAAAAAGCATCGAAATTGTCTCAGAAAAGTCATAAAAATTTTTTTAAAGATGTGAATTGGCATTCTTTAGTGAGTTAAGTACAGAAAGTAGTTTTAGTACCATAATTACGGTATTTATTGAAACCCAGATGTATATCTGGCTGCACAAGTGCAAATGAGCAGATGGTACGGATCGTGCTACCGGTACGGATCAGGTAAGGACATCCAGTACAGTAGGACCTAACCGCGTCATCTACCCAGGATGCACTGCACAGGTGAAAACAATGGCGATTGCCATGGATGGAAAATATGATAAAGAATATATATGTATTTTTAAGTAAATATGACAATTTTTAAGTTAAGAGGAAAATGAAAACACATTTAGCCCAAAATGTGTAACTGTCATCAGTCCATTTAACAAACTCAACTTTACACATTTGGTATCATTTTAAATTATCGTTTCCCTTATGGATGGCTGATAAATAGGTTAAAAATATGTTAATCTTAGTTTGTGAACACTTTATAACTCATTTATTTTGCATTATTTAAGGAGGAAAAGAGACTAAACTGTCTTGTTCCCAAATAATGAGCCTAATTTGTTCATCTACATATTTATTTAAATGTTGCTTATATTCAACATATCAGACTAAGCTAGTACCTTGTGAGCACATTAGCATTTGCAAACATTACTAGCTCAAATTACATGCTGAATAAACACATAAATAAACTAGAAAGTATTTACAGATTAAATATGGATTTATCTATAAATTAGCCACCTATATGAGGAGCAAAGATATTTTGATAACAAAATATCTTTAGCATTTCTTTAATATAAAACAAAGGATAACCCCTGGTGTCCACTGAAGCAATAGATCATTGAGATGCTGCTGAATCAGATTTCAGATTATACTCTCTTGAATCCTCATTGAATACTCTGAAAATGTTATATCATAGTCTGACAAAAATCATCTCATAATCTGACAAAATAAACCAAAAACTGATGTCAAAAAAGTCAAAATCAAGTTTGAGTTCCTTTAATTTACATTTATTTATTTTGATTTTGATTTAAACATGAGCAAAAATAGACATAAATTGAGAGTCAAAAATAATAATTCAGGATATTTTCATTTATTTGTCTAGGTAGGTATCTTTAACAAGTTTCATAAATGTATATTTCAGGACAATCTTTTGAACCACAATCATAAGCAACAGTGCAACTTTAAGAAGATATGTGTGGGCGATGATATATTCACTGTTTGAACCATGAGTTTCTTTCCAGCTTCTTCTGCTCATGCAGCTTTGCAGTTTCTAAAAGTCCTTTGAGGGTTAAAGTTCTGCTAGTGAGCTATTGTGAGAGCGAATCTGTATTAATTAAACAAAGATAAGCACAGACTAAAATGATAGAAAAAAACCCAGCCCTTTCTAAACAAACCATTGTCATTTAGCCTTTTTGTTTAACTCATTAAAGAAACTCCATCATATAGCTTTCATGTCACATCCTTACGCTCTAATCCATTTACAGCAAAAATACTCTGTCATACACAAACCATTTTATTGATTACTTTTTTAAATATTGCACCTATAATTGTCTGAACATAGTCCTTCTTTCTCTACTTTCCTCTAAACAACCACACATATAGTATGCACAGGAGATAAATATATATTGCTTTTGATAAAAACCCCAGATTAGCACATAAAAGATAAAGGGATAAATTGAGAAAGCAGAAGGAAACATTCTGTGAACCTGGAGAACAAATATGTCTGTCCACCAGGAGGCACTGTGATGCTGCAGGGGAACATTTTCCACTTGTGCGCTTTTTATGTTGTTTATTGTGTAACAAGACACCTTAATGATTCTGTTGGTTTTTTAGATGAGGATCCATCTGCAAAATTCATTTCAGTGTAAATTACCATTAATATCTTTGGCAGAAGAATAAGTGATCTTGAAATGTAAATGAGGAGAAAGTCATAAATTAATGGCTGATGGAATTATTAAAGGAAAGTATGGAAAAATTAGAATTAAAAAGGTGTTCTGAAGGAGAGGACT